AATTGATTGAGTTGAGGGTGTACTTGACCGTCCTCACCCCTTGTGATACCGTTAATGACTGATTACCGTTTTACTGAAATACTGCACTTGCTATATGAGATATTGAATTCCATTTATGGAAAACTGATTTGGTGTCGTTTGGACGAATATCCAACGGCCTTACTGTATTACTGAGCTCAACCCCGTAGGTAGTCAATTGAATCGAGCCGGCAAGGGCTTGGTCGTGAAAATTGACATGCCACGGGGACTGTACTGGGGAATCTTGTAGTAATGAGACTCTTGGTTCCGGTATACTCGAGTATTACCAAAAGCTACTGATTGGAGTGCGGACCCGATTGGGGTATGTTTGGTGGAAGGGATGGGAGTGAAGTGGGTTCTACGGTTGGTACTCAAAAACGTTGACGGAGAGTCAATGAGATTGGATCAAGAATATAAGCGTGGAAATGGGCTCTTGAGAGCCGTCCGTATCCTTTTACCGATTTGTTTTGCTTCTTATTTGTCTACTTGAAATGAACGGTTATGCTTAAGTGATCTTTGTTGATTATGTGATAGTTGCTCACTGAGCTTTAGCTCACTCCGTTCCATTTGTTTTCCTTACAGGAAAATGATCACTTTTGGAAGATCATACTTGTTGGTTGTCAAATTGAGCCATATATATATGTCTATTTTGAATAGCTCTTTGCATGAAACCCTAATGTGTATTGGGTTCATCTTTTGATTGGCAAACCGAACATGTGTATCCATGATGAATGGTTTTTGGCATGCCATTTGGTTGTAAATGTTGAATGTCAATGTATGTATATGTTTGATTGATGTTTGGTTGAACTCCGGATTCTGACGTGTCCGGTACTGTTCATCCGCGGCTTCGATTTTCATTTTTTTTGTTTTGGTTCTTGTGGCTTGTTCGAGCGTGCTTTTACTTTCCCGAAACGTTTTAGATCGTGTGTAACTGCTCGTTAGTCCTAGCGAGAGCTGGGCAGGCAGTCCGCTAACCCCTTTGGTTCGCCTTAGGGGAAGTTGGGGCTGTTACAGATTTGCAGTAGGCCGCCCTTCCATGGAGATTATTCGCAAATTTATCGTTTCTTTGGGGCTGAGGGGTGAGTGTCCGATAGGCTTATTAGATTCCAAGCACATTCTTTTACGTCCATCCGTGGAGGAAGATTACACCAGGCTTTGGTGTCGCAAGTCTTGGTACATTGGCAAGTTTCATATGTCCCTGTCGAAATGGACAATCGATTTTAAACCAGGAGCAGAGTCATCAATTGCACCAGTTTGGGTCAATTTTCCGGGTCTTCCATTGCCGTTTTTCGAAAAGCAATTTCTGCTTAAGCTGGGTAACTTACTTGGCCGACCCTTAAAAGTGGATGAAGCTACGGCTTCACTGAAACGTCCTTCTGTAGCCCGTATATTGTTGGAGGTCGATGTATTGCATTCTCCCAAATCCAGGATTTGGATTGGAGATGATCAGTGGGGTTTTTGGCAGAAAATTGAGTATGAAGAATATCCTTCTTATTGTGCTTTTTGCTCGTTGATTGGTTATACAGAAAATATCTGTCATAAAAAACATCCGGAATTGCGGCCTGTGCGCCGTTCTAGACCATCAACTAAGTGTGACGCCCCGAAAAAAAATGAGTGTGAGAACCCGAAAATTTTCTAATTTTCTAGGGTTTATTTTATTTAATCGCCTGCCTTTTCTACATTTTCTTTATTAGAAAATTCCCCAGATAAAGTTTATGAGCAAAGATAGTTTTAAAATGATTTTTCTGGTATCGGTTAGTTTTTGAGAAATTAAGAGCGTATTTTGAACGTGGGACCCGCAAGTGCGGTAAACGCAATATATTTTTGACAACTTGTTGGATTTTTGTATTAAGTGATATTATTTTACAAAGTGTTAAGATATTTGTATTGGAGAGACAAAAAGATAAGTTTTAAACCTAAAGGTGACAAGTGTCACCATTTGATTGGGCTTACCTTAAGACCTTTCTTACCATTTACTTAAATAACCAAAAATGACCCAAAATATCTTCATTTATAAGCTTCATATGGCCGACCACCTTCAAGCAATAAGGGAAGAAAAGCTCTCCAATTTCTTTGCTCCAAGCTTGCTTAATCTTCACTTTTAACCGTTTAATTTTAGTTTTACTCCATAAAAACTCTTCACTTAGTGTTTGTGAGTTGTTTGGTGGAGTTGTTTGGAAAGTTAAGGTGACCAGTAGCTCTCTCTCTCTTGTGTTCAAGGTAAGTTGTGAAGAACCACTCTCCTCCCTTAATTGATGTTCAATTCATGATTGGTGGTGGTATAAGATGCACTTTTATGGATTATATCTTGATTTTGGTTGAATTGGTGAAGTTTTATAATTTTTGGGGATTTTTCTGTTTTCATATGGATATGATTATGGGGTCATGTATGATGATTGGAAATGATGTTTAATGACTTAAGGAGGTGGGAAAAGTGATTAATTACAATCAATTTCTGTTTTGGAAGGAAAAGTGGAAAACTAGGTTTCAATGTTCTTCATTCTGTCCGAATTTTTAGCTCATAGATAGAGGCCTAATTGGCCTTAGCTCAAAACATGAAAGTTGTAGGAAATGACATTTTAGAGATGTCTACAAAATTTCAGGTTAATCGGAGTAGCGTAGAATGATATAAGTCAAAATTACTATTGCTGTTCTGGTTTTACCCGAAATTGAGAACTGCGCCTGTAATTGGTTGTTTTGGCTGGAATTGCTTCCGAATTGGTTGTTGAGGCCTTCTGATGAAATTTATCCCTGTTTATTATCTTTCATCTGGTTTTGGAATTTCTGGATTTGGACTTGGAGAGCCCGAGTTATGATGTTTCCGCTAGAATGCGTTCTGTGAATCTGTTTTTGTGATTCTGGTATGGTATCTTGCATTTTTTACCTGGTTACACTTGAAAATGGGTTGAGTGACCTTCTTCAATGTTGTAGCCCTGTCTTTTAGCTTCGAAACGGTGGGTCTTGCACCTACTTCCGACAATCGTAGCGCCTTTGGTACCATTACCGCAAAATGACGTCAAAACTGTTTTTCTGGTTTTGAGCTTAACTTTCATTTCCGGACTTTTCCCTAGTTTGACTTGTACTAGTACTACTTGGAGCTTGCTGAATGGCTATTGGATGAACTTGTTGTTGTGTGTACCTTTGGGTTTGAATGAGAAAAATAATGAAGCCATGATGGCTGGAAAAGTTAGTAAATTCAAGGGAAGTGCTGTCCGAACTTTGAAGGGATTTGTTTGCATTGAGTTTGTGATCTAAGACTTGGATTTGAGCAAGGCAATGTTATATGCTGGATGATTTCTGAGCCGTGGAGGTGAGTGACCCTAAACTATTTCCAAAGTACTTGTGAAATGTTTCTTACATTATTTACTTTTGAACTGTTTTCTTGCATATCATGCGTGCTTATATGAAAGTGTTCCTTGTTTGATATATTTCCTTGACTTCATGACTTGTATTATTGATTGATAATGTGATACGTGCTTTGAATGATTTCCAAAACGAGCTTTCTAGGCGAGTGTGTATTTTATCGCACTCGACCTAAATCAAAGTGAAATTTTCATGATAAATGATTAAATGCTACTTGCGCATGAATGTAAGCCTTTTGTGCTGAACTGGCCATTGCCCCTTGTTACCGGTCGTCTCGAGCCAGAAACGGACTCGATCGGGCGATTAGGGACCTGGGTGAACGTTTGGTATACTCGAGTATTACCTTTGTAGGTTGGTGGAGGTTGGTGGAAAATGATGCAATTTCAAATGAAAAAAAAAGGGAAATGACAGGAGAACGAACGTATCTTTTCATGAATGTTACTATCGCTTTCCATTGTACATGTTTCTTGAATTATTGATACTCCATATTTAATGTTTTGTAAATGTTGTAATTGTTTCTGGACTTATCATTTGATTTATGACATCATTGAAAAGAAATATTGTTAAACCGATTTGATTACTGATTTTTTGGTTACTCGCTGAGCTTCAAGCTCACCCCAAAAATATTTTATTCCCCTCCACAGGGCTCAAAGCGAAGGAAGGCTTGTAGTACTTGTGCGCGTGATTGGATGGCCTTTATGTTGTACAGTTTGGATTTGGAATCATTTTATATATAGTTGGAAATCATTTCCGCTTCACTTATGACATGTAATTATTGGAGAATGTGATGTAATATTTGAGATTTATATTGTAATTCATTTGAGGATTGTAGTGAACGACTGAGTCCCGGCGAGAGCTGGGCAGGCGGCCCGCCGAACCCTCTGGTTCGCCTCAGGGGGAGGTGGGGCCATGACACTTAGCCTCACGTCAGACAAGTCTTTCAACCAAAGGGGGTAACTACTGTTGATGAATCTCTTCCTGTTGTGGATTCTGGGATTGTAATAGTCCCGAGAGTAAAGAGCATGAAAACAGTACTTCTGCAACGGATGTTTCTACTTCTGTTATTCCATCATCGTCTTCTAACCCTATTAGGGGTAATTCTCCTCAAGCTAATGTACCTGTTCATGATCCTGTTCTCCCTAATACAACTCTGGGGGTTGATGCAGATACGCAGAATGTTATCTCTGTAGTCACCCTTGTTCCCCCAGATTCTTCTTCTCCGATTAAAGCCTTATCAGACAAAATCCCTACCTCCGCCCGGGATGACAATCTGTTGCCTATTCCGTCTGCTTCTTTAGTACCGCACCATGAGCGGAATTATTCTTCTCTCTCTCCTCGACGGCACCACGGTCATGTTCGACTGGTGCGGTCTAATTCCGAAGGCTAATCAGGGGTGCAAGGTCTTTCCTTGCTTGATTTAAAAAATTTTCATGATCGGCTACCCAGCAGAATCATAGCATCTAAGCTTTGCTGCGATCCGTTTGTTACTGGAGTATCTCTGGATGATACCGACACTCAATTATTGCAAAATTTGATCCAAGGCCGCAAGGGTCGTAGTAGACAGGCCAGGAAACGAGAAGGTATGACTTCATCTGCTCATTATAATCTTCGGTCTAATAATGTTAAATCCGATTAAGTTTATAGTGTGGAACATTCGTGGTGCTTCGAACAAGGAGTCATTACGGCATATTCGTCGCACTTGTAGATCAAACAATATTCATTTTCTGATTCTATTGGAGCCATTAGCCAATGTTTCTCATTTGGGGAGTGTGCAGCTGTTCTTGGGTTTTGATTTTGCTCGGTCCTTCGTGCACAACAAAATTTGGATATTCTGGTGTTCAGATGCTCGATATTCTTTTGTAGAAGGCTCGGATCAATTAGTTCATATACATTTGTCTTTCCCTTCTTGTTCTTCCATTATTATTTCGGCTGTCTATGCGAAGTGTAACAGAATTGGTAGGAGACGGTTATGGGAGGCTCTGGAGCAATTTTCCACATCTATTACTCTTCCATGGATTGCCGTAGGGGACTACAACGTTATTTCTTCCGCAGAGGAAAGGATTGGAGGATCAGCCCCGAATATTCGTGATTTGGAAGAATTCAACTCTGCTTTAAATCGGAGTGGTCTATTTCCAGTTCAGTTCGATGGGTCTGCTTACATATGGACAAATGGTCGCATGTGGCAGCGACTTGATCGAGCGGTCGTTAATAGCGTTTGGCTGTCTGATATTGAGATGACTCGAGTTGCTCATCTTCAGAGAGGGCGGTCTGACCATTGTCCGTTGCTGGTCAGGAGAGGAAGTACGACAGCACGACGGTCTTCATTTCGATTTCTTAATGTCTGGCGAGGTCATTCCAATTTTCAACAAACAGTAAGGTCTGCTTGGGCTCAGCCTGTTTCTGGAGTTGGAATGCAGAAATTCTTTAATAAATTGCAGGTGGTTAAAAGTGTTTTATCTAGATAGAATGTGGATGTATTTGGGAATATCTCTCAAAGGGTCAAAGTGGCAGCAGATAATTTATTGGCCAAGGAAATTTTGTATGATCAAAATAGAGACACGTTGTCTAGGACGGTAGTTCATGAGGCAAGGGCAGTTCATTCTCGGGAGCTAGCGATGGAATGTGAATTCTGGAGACAAAAGGCAGCGATCAAATGGATCAAAGAGGGCGGCGCTAATACCTCTTTTTTTCATGCAGCAGTTAAGCAGAAACGCAGCTCTAATTTTATTGCACAAATTAGGGGCAACGGGGACAGTTGGTTTGATAGTGTCGAGGATATTAAGCTGTAGGCGAGTGATTTTTTCTCCTCTTTGTTCACAGCAGACCGCGCTGTTTGCTCTGGCAGCAGACCGCACTGTTTGCTCTGGCAGCAGACCGTCACTTGATCTGCCCAAGCTTACGCAAGAGGAGAACGACATGCTGTTGAAATCACCATCGGTAGAAGAAGTTTATACGGTAATATGTTCGTTTGACCCTCAGAGTTCTGCGGGGCCTGATGGTTTTGGAGGGGGTTTTTATCAAAGTTGCTGGGAGTGTATAAGGGACGACTTCATGGACGCGGTGAAGGATTTTTTCGCTGGTACCACAATGCCCCACGGATTTTCAAGTACAACGATCACATTACTGCCCAAAAAGGAAGGTGCATGTGAGTGGAAAGATTTCCGACCAATAAGCTTATCTAACGTTAGTTCAAAGATCATTTCTAAGATTTTGTCTACCCGCATTAATCAACTCCTTCCTAAGTTGATTTTAGAGTTTCAGATTGGCTTTATCCCGGGCAGGGGAATACAAGATAATGTTCTGCTAGCTCAGGAATTAATTCTGGATTTGGACAAGAAACTGCGTCACCCTAACGTAATATTGAAATTGGATATGGAGAAGGCCTATGACAGGGTGGACTGGGGGTTTTTATTATACATGCTTCGTGAATTTGGCTTTAAAGAAGGTGTGGTAGATCTGATTTTTCGATTAATATCCAACGTTTGGTTTTCTGTCCTGGTTAATGGGGAGCTCACGAGCTTTTTCAAGTCGACTAGAGGGGTTCGTCAGGGGGATCCTTTATCTTCCACTCTTTTCCTTTTTGTCTCGGAATTTCTTGGAAAGGGCCTTCAGCAGCTGTTTACTAGGAATCCAGGATTTAGATTTTTGACTAAGGGAGGGCTGGTCCCGTTTCTTGCTTTTGCCGATGACGTGATTATTTTCACGCGGGCATCGTCTGAATGTCTGCAGGCTGTGTCGTCCTTTCTACGAGAATATCAAACTCTTTCTGGCCAAAAAATTAATCTCTCCAAGAGTCGTTTCCTTTGTTCGTCGAAGCTTCCTTCGGATGTTATCAACTTAATTCAGCAAGTAACGGGATTTCATGGGCAGTCTTGGCCTGTCAAATATTTGGGAGTTCCACTTTCTCTTGGCCGTAGTAAAAATGTCTTATTTGATGGAGTTATTGCTTCCGTTAGAGCAAAGCTTCGTCATTGGAGTTCTCGGTTTCTTTCTGCTGGGGGAAAGCTCATCTTGCTTCGTCATGTGTTGAATTCAATGCCTCTTCACCTCTTGCAGGTTACTAAACGACCTAAGGGGATTTTTCTTAGATTGGGCAAGCTGTTTAATGCATTCTTGTGGGATGGCAAGGATGGTAGACGGATTCATTGGTCTTCCTGGGAAAAATTATGCTTTCCAGTCGAAGAAGGGGATTGGGATTTCGATCACTGTTGGACTTAGAGAAGGCTTTTGCAATGAAATTATGGTGGAGAATACGTCAAAAGAGCTCTCCTTGGGTCAGATTTATGCACCGTAAGTACATTGGCGAACAGCACCCATTCTTGGCTGCGGCTGCTGTTGGGTCGGCAACATGGAAGCGGGTCTGTTCGGTTCGGGCTATAACTGAAGACAATATTCGTTGGCGGCTTGGTGAGGGATTCATCGATTTATGGCATGATCGATGGCTATTCGACGAACCTCTTAGCAGACAGTTTGCTGGTGTGCCTCCTGATTTTTTAGTAGCTGAGTTTTATACCTCTACGGGGTGGAATACTGAACGTCTCCTCCAAGTTCTTCCTCGATCTGTTGTTAATATTATTTCACAAACACTTGTTGATCCGACCCTTAAGGATGAATTGGTTTGGGCTCCTTCAGCGGATGGTACATTCACTGTGTCGTCAGCCTGGGATTTAGTTAGACAGCGGCGTAACCTGTCATTGGTTTGGCGTGGAATTTGGTGTCCTTTGCTGCCTTTAAAAATGTCATACTTAGTTTGGAGGGTATTGGCTGATTTTCTTCCTCTGGACGACAAGCTCCGTTCTAGAGGAATTTCCATGGTTTCCAAATGTGATTGCTGTGGTAATGCAGTGGAGTCTTTGAATCATATTTTTTTGCATGGCAGGTTAGCAAGTGCTGTTTGGCAGCACTTCTTTTCTGGCTTGCGGAATTCCGTGGGGGGCATTCTCATGTGTTTCTTCGCTGCTAGTGGTGTCGTTTCAATCTTCTGGGAATGGGTGATTGGATCATGTTCGGTGTGTTATACCAGTTGTAGTGTTATGATTTCTGTGGCGTAGTAGAAACGATGCTCGGTTTGGAAATATCCCCCCTGTCTATTCTAAAGTTATTTTCGATATCAATGGGTGGTTGGTTGCTACGGGGGTTGCACGCATGCTGAACAGATTTCAGTTGGAGGGGGATACGGATACGTATTTTGCACGTTACTTTCGGATCAAACCAGCTAAATCCTTATGTCCGAAGGCTATATCATGGATGAAGCCTCCTCGAGGGTCAATCAAACTTAACACCGATGCAAGTGTGTCAAATGGTTTGTCTAAAGGCGGTGGAGTGATACGAGATTTTGAAGGGAAGATGCTTGGTGCTTTTTATAAGGAATTCGGGGAATATGAGGTGGTACATGCGGAGGGCTTAGCATTGTTAACTGGTCTACAGTAGTGTGTTGGAACAGGGTTGTCAGATATTTTGGTGGAAGTGGATTCACTTGCGTTGGTACGGTTGGTTACTAGTCAATCTATTGGTAAGTGGCCGTTGTGTAGCGTCTTAAGTCAAATTCGATTGTTACTATGCAAGGTGAAGGGGACCATTACACATATTTATCGTGAGGCGAATGTCGTGGCAGACAACTTAGCTGCTTTATCTCTGGAGAGTCCATATGTTACTTTCCAATCTCATCAGCAACTTCCAAGTAGAGCTCGGTCGTTGATTAATTTGGATGCAATAGGTTATCCATATATTCGCAACTTTAATGTTTAGGAATAGTACTCCTAGTTCTCTGGCATGTATTGAAGGTTGGGACTTTTCCCTCCTTCGTATTTTTAGCGTTTGCAATTAATAAAAGTTGGGGAGTTTTCCCCTTTTGAAAAAAATAAAAAATAAAAACACACAGCCCTAGGCACAAACACGATATGCAAATGAAGCAAGTCATAGTGGGTTAAGCAATAAGTGTAACAGCCCCACTTTCCCCTAAGGCGAACCAAAGGGGTTAGCGGGCTGCCTGCCCAGCTCTTGCCAGGACTAACGATGCAGACTAGAACTATCTATTGCGATCCGGAACTTACAAACGAGCGTAAACAAGTCAAAATGGAAAAAATAACCCAAAAAGAAAAAGGAAATCCGGAGTCGGCCATGATAGTAACCGACCCGTCAGAACCCAACCGAAAGAACACGCAAACATTCACATCTGAACTTTAGCGATTACAATCCAAAATTTCAATCCAAAATGACATACAAAAGTTTTCAAAAGTTAATACATATACACGGTTTGCCAAATCAAAAGAGAAAACGCCCCAAAAGTACACTTAGGGTTTTAATACATGAGCTATACAAAAGATATGTTCAACTAGCTCAATTTGGCAGCCATTTGTCAAATCCAGACCAAAAGGGTTTATTTTCCTGTAAGGAAAACAAAAAGGAACAGAAAGGGGTGAGCTTGCGCTCAATGAGGTACCAAACATATAGCAGAAAAATCATGGCATTTCACATTTAACAAATCAGATACACATGCCAGATGTAAAGCAAAGGAACCAATGATTCAAATCAGAAGGATACGGGTGGCTCTCAGGAGCCAAATTTCCAGCGCAGTACTTGATCCAAACCGGTTGACTCTCCGTCAACGTATATAGAACCAAAACGTCCGTAGACCCCTCTTTACACCGAATTCCGTCCACCAAACACCCCTTTACCGGGCCCGCTCACCGTAACCGAACAGAAATGGTAATACTCGAGTATACCGGAATCAAGGGTCTCAATACCCAAAAATCCCCGAACAGACTACCGTGGTTCGTTATCTAATCGTCCAGGCCCTTGCCGGCCCGACTCGAATAACTTAGCCACAGGATTGAGCTCATAGGTCATAGAAATCCGAACAGATGCAGACACAGATAACAGATTCAGATACAGATACAAAATAGCAGATTCAGATAGCAGATTCAGACGGCAGATTCAGATAGGCACTCAAAATTGGCATATGAACAGATAGAAGAACGAGTGTGATAAAGTACACCCTCGTCTCAAACAAATTTAACAGATTGCAGAGCAGAAATCAAGTTAGACAGCAATGGAGGGGAGTGGTACACTCACCGGCTCAACTTCAAAAGTTTTTACTTCAGATTGGCCTTAATCGCCAAGAAACCCTAAAATAACCAAAATAAACCAATTGAAGGTTTCACATCCGTAATCGAGTAAACACAATGCACATGAGGCTCGACTACCAGTCGTATGCCTCGCCAAATAATTACTAATGCAAGGGTACACAACATGATTTTTGGGAACAAAAAGATAGCATAAAGACCTAGGTTCAATAACCCAAAAGCCCTTTTATTTCTACCAAAAGGCAAATCCAACTTAAAAGAACCAAACGGCCTAGAAAATCGAGCAGCACTTCCCCTAAATTTCTTACTTTTCCAGCCATTAAGGCTTCATTATTCCCTCGAATCAGTCCCAACATCTCACACAAAATTCACCTCATTTCCAAAAGCCATTCACTAGGCCCAAAGTAAAAGTTAACTAGGAAATGACCGGAATAAAAGTAAGCCTTAAAACACACAAACAAGTACAATGAGACTCGATAACGCGTCATAAAGCCATGCCAACCACAACCCCAATAAGGTTTCATATGCATATATAAGCATTATAGCAAGCCAGAAAATCAGGAAATGTAGCCATCTTGGCCATAACAACAAAAACAGTTTTACCTTCATTATGCGGTAATGGCACAAATTGCACTACGCTTATCGGATGAGGGTGTAAGACCCACCATATCGAACCTAAAAGACAGGGCTACAACAATGTAGAAGGCCACTCAGTCCAAATCCTAGCACAACTAGGTCAAATATGCAGAATACCAAACCAGAACCGTAATTGCAGGTTTACAAATCACACTATGCTGTAATCAGTACAACTCAGTCTATATAGGTCCAAATGCAGAAATTCCAAAGGCATATGATAGCTAGGCGATCAAGATACATTTCATCAGAAGACACCAACAACAAAATCCAAAACAATCCCAGCCAAAACAACCCATTTCAGACGCAGTTCGCACATTCTGATCAACCCAGAACAGCAACAGTAAAATCGACATATCTCACTTTACACTGCTCCAAATGACCAGAAATTTTTCAGGCACCTCAAACACATCAATACCTAAAACTTTCATGTTTTAAGCAAAGGCCAATTCGGCCTCTAACCATATGATACAAAACCAGACAGAAAAGGGGGTTATGAAACCCTAACTTCCTCAAATTCCTTCCAAACCCAAAATTGGTTGCAATTATCAATAATTCACACCTACTAGAGTCATTATAGGCCATTGCCAATCATCATACAAGGCCACAACATCATGATCATATTAAACCAGAAAAATCACCAATAAATTGAAAACTTCACCATTTCATCCAAAAACAAGAATTAAATCACAAAATTCAACACTTTAGCTTCCACTAAGCACAACTCTAGCTTCATTAAGTGTAGGGGAAAGTTCATATACCACTCACCTAGTAAACAAGAGAGGAAGAGTTGTAGGACACCTTAGCTTTTCCAAAAAACTTCACCAAATCACTCACTAGCACCAAATGGAGGGATTTTATGGAGTAGAAACTAGATCAAGCAAGTGTTTTGGAGGATTTGAGCTAGATAATTGCCAAACTTTGAAGAGGTTTTTCTTCCTTCTTTGCTAGAGAGAGAATCGTCCAAGAGGTTGAAGACAAGAATGAATTTTGTGTGATTTTTTTTTGAGATATTTAAGCAATTGGTCAAAAGTCAAGAAAATGAATAGTAAGTCATATGCTATTTCCAATACAATGGTGACACTTGTCACCTCCATTAATGCAATCCTATCTTTTCTTTTTCCTCTCACATCAATCACTTCACATCCTCTACTTATCTCTTAACACCCGATAAATTTCACACAGTATCCGGAATTTAACCTAATTGGCCGAATTTTTCCGAACTTTTCGCACTAGTGGGTCCCACGTCCATTATATACTCTTAGTTTCTCAAAAACTAACCGATACTAGAAAAATCATTTAAAAGCTATATTTACTCATAAAATTTATTTGCACAATTTTTTCGAATAAAGAAAAGGTGGAAAAACGTATAATTAAAAGAAATTAAAACCTAGAAATTAAGAAAATTACGGGTCCTCACAATAAGTTTGCACAATTAACTCGTTACTGACTCATTAAAAGTTATATGACTTGATATGTTAATCCATAACCCCAATGAAAAATTATCTTATACCTTTTTATCTCTTTGAATTTTCTCCAGAATTTATACTAGAATTAAAAAAATAAAATGGTACTTCATTTTCCCTCCTAAATTGCTTGCACCAAAATATTGGCACCTTCCTTCCTAAATTTTAGGTTTCCTCCATGTATATGTACAAGCTCATATTGAAGCCCAGATTCCATAAGTTGCCATACACAGCCTCAATGATTTTAATTTTCTAATTCCCGCTATCATTTTTCCTTCCTCAAGTTGACAAATATTTAGATTTAGATTAATTATTGATCATTTACTCTTCCTCCTACTATGTAAAATACTCTTTGATCAAATTCTCCTTTCTAGGTAAATTTTAATATGCTCTTACAAAATATTACCATTATTTTTGTGTAGCTGTTTTGAATGTTTTCTTGCTTGTTCACCTCGTCTCTTGCATGAGTTTGCCTATTGTTTTTTGCTTCTTTGAAGATTTTCTTTGCAAAACAACAACACTTTTTTGGGGTGTTGTTATTGAGATGATAATGCATTCAAGACTATATAAGCAATATTTAATGAGAATCTACATTTACGTACCACAGTGGGCATTGAGCTTCTAGTTGGCTTCCAAGATGGACGGATCAGCATAAGATTATCAAGTCTCGGTCCCAGCCGCCCCAATTCAAATACATCTTTTCTTTTAAAGACTCATATTTTACTCTTTTAAGATTTTTTATTTATAATACATTGACGTACCACAGTGGGCATTGAGCTTCTAGTTGGCTTCCAAGATGGACGGATCAGCATAAGATTATCAAGTCTCGGTCCCAGCCGCCCCAATTCAAATACATCTTTTCTTTTAAAGACTCGTATTTTATTCTTTTAAGATTTTTTATTTATAATTTTCATGTAAATATTTAAATGAGTTAACACATGATTGCCGATGCTTTAATAAACAAGTTGTGACACGAACACACCATGAAAGTTAAATACGTTATGTATAGGTCTCGACTTGTTTAATACAAGCATGAATATGGCACGATAGGAACACGATATCACACCACCCATTAATAGTACTATTTGTCCATAACCCCATATTGTTAAAGAATTCAACGTAGTGAAAATACATTTAGAATATAAGATTAACACATTATTTGCAAAAGCTAAATGACAGTACAAAGAGTTTATAACATGGCTTGGATATATCTTGTTGTTTTGAAACATACTATTGTTTGTAGTTT